GATAAATCAAAATCACCGAGCGTTGCTGATGAAGCACCTGACTTGAAAGATGTTGAGAAATCTAGATCTCCCAGCGTAACAAGCGTTCCAGCTAAATCGAAATCTCCTAGCATTGCTGGTGAGACACCTGACTTGAAGGAAGTTGAAACGAAAGATGAAAAATCTAGGTCTCCTAGTGTGACAAGTGCTGCAACTGAGCAGAAAGAATCGCCGGATAAATCTAAGACACCGAGTGTTGCTGGCGAGGCATCTGAATTAAAAGATGTGTGCACGAAAGACGATGAGAGGTCCAGATCTCCTAGTGTTTCGACCGAACTGAAAGAGCCAACTGATAAATCAAAGTCGCCTAGCGTTACTAGCGAGAAAGCTGATTTAGCGGATATTGATGCAAAAAGTGGCGAAAAATCCAGGTCTACTAGTATTACATCTGTTGTAGGCGAACCAAAGGAAATAACCGATAAATCAAAGTCGCCCAGTATTGCCGGAGAAATTCCTGATTTGAAGGATGTCGAACCGAAAGAAATAGAAAAATCTCGATCTCCTAGCATCACGAGTGTTCCAACTGAAGTAAAAGATAAATCAAAGTCTCCTAGTATCGTTGATGAGACACCTGATGTGAAGGATGTTGAGATGAAAGACGCTGAGATATCTAAGTCTCCAAGTATACAGGCGGACACTGTGGATAAATCAAAATCACCTAGCGTTGCTGATGAAGTGCCTGATTTAAAGGAAGTTGAGACAAAAGACACCGAGAAATCTAGATCTCCCAGTATCACGAGTGCTGCAGCAGACAAGTCCAAATCACCGAGCCTCGCCGGAGAGGCGCCCGATTTGAAAGACATTGAGAAGTCCAGGTCTCCCAGTGTAACAAGCATACCGGCTGAAGCAAAGGATGCGTTGGATAAATCGAAGTCACCTAGTGTTGCTGGCGAGACACCAGATTTGGGGGAAATCGAGGTTAAAGAGCTAGAAAAATCTAGATCTCCCAGTGTAACAAGTGTCCCGGCTGAGGGAAAAGAGCCATCGGATAAATCGAAATCCCCTAGCATTGCTGGCGAAACACTCGACTTGAAGGATGTTGAGAAATCCAGGTCTCCCAGTGTGACAGATGTTCCAGCGGTAGTTAAAGAATCGGATAAGTCGAAGTCGCCCAGTATCGCCGGTGAGACGCCTGATTTAAAGGATGTCGACAAGTCTAGATCACCTAGCGTACCGAGTGCTCCTACGGAATTGAAAGACGCGTCAGACAAGTCGAAATCTCCTAGTGTCGCCGGCGACGTAGCCGACGACGTTCAGAAATCTCGATCGCCCAGTGTAACGAGTATTTCGGCGGAGCCGAAAGAACGAACAGACAAATCGAAATCGCCTAGTATCGTTGGCGACGCTGCTGATTTGAAGGAGATCGAAACTAAGGAAATTGAAAAATCTAGGTCTCCAAGTGTGGTTAGCGTTACAATTGAGTTGAAAGATAAATCCAGGTCTCCCAGTATTGCTGGCGAAGCGTTGGATTTAAAGGACGGGGACTCTAAAATCACTGACAAATCTAGGTCACCCAGTGTAACGAGTGCTCCGGCAGAGGCGAAGGATTTCTCGGATAAGTCAAAATCTCCCAGCGTTGCCAGTGATATATTGGATTTGAAAGATGTCGTAGAGATTGTGGACAAATCTAAATCTCCAAGTGTAGTAGATGTTTCAGCAGGGCTGAAGGATGTCGCGGATAAGGCAAAATCACCCAGCATCACTGAAGAAGCAGTTTGCTTCAAGGAGTTCGACGTAAAGTCAATTGACAAGTCTCGGTCTCCCAGTGCAACAGACGTCGCAGCGGAACCAAAGGAAGCAACAGACAAATCCAAGTCGCCTAGCATCGCCGGCGAGATACCTGATTTGAAGGATGTCGATAAATCCAGATCTCCAAGTATACCGAGTGCTCCGGTAGAAGTCAAGGATGCATCAGAGAAGTCAAAATCGCCCAGTATTGTTGAGGAGACGCCTGATTTGAAAGAGGTTGAAGCTAAAGATACTACGAAATCTAGATCTCCTAGTATATCTCCAAGTGCTCCAATGGAATCTAAAGATGCATCGGATAAATCAAAGAGTCCTAGCATAGCTGGCGAGACACCTGATTTAAAGGAGGTCGACGCGAAAGAAACTGAGAAGTCTAGATCTCCTAGTGTCGCGTCAGAATCTAAAGATAAGTCAAAGAGTCCTA